ATGTACCAGAGAACTGTACACCTGAAACCTATATACTTTTATTAACCAATGTCACCTCAATAAATTCAATTAAAAATTAATTTAAAAATTAGTTTTCTCTCCTTTCAGATAAATCATTATAAAATTGAATCAGAATCATCCCTGAAATGTCCTTCTTCACCAGGTGGCTTTTACTGACGGTGGTTAAATGGTGGCCTTGGTACAATGGCCTCTGATACTTCTTCTGTAAAGGCCTGTGCTGCAGAGAGCTCAGAGGTAGGGCAGTGGGCTTGTTTTTTACACAAACTGGAAGCATTTTACTGAGAAGCCGACAAAACCAAGCAGAGCATTCCATTAGAATTTAGGTGGCCTGGAGGCGAGGACGAGGAATGTCTCAGGAACTCTCAGAATCACTGGAAGCTCAAAACACAGAATAAGGCAAGATTTCAAGCGTTCTTTTGGTTCCACTTTTCCCTCAAATTACCAAAAAGCAGCTAAGTGTTTAGCAAATATGGGTATGAATGGTTCTGCTCTGCTGCTTCCATCCTGTGCTCAGATGCTGCAGGGGAGCCAGGCTGAGCCAGGAGACCCCAGGAGACTTGGCGTGAGCAAAGGTGTAACGAGCTACTCCTTTTAGGAAGTGCAACTGAAATTTATCTCAGAGCACAGTACTCAAATGATGAGTGTTAGCTGAGAGGAAAAGAATAAAACTCTATGTAATGTAAGGAAATAGGGCAGAGCAATTGCACAAATCAAAATACACATGATAAGCATGGTATCGCAAGATGCGTCTGAACCAAAAGAAGGTACTATAAGCAAATCCAGGAATTATAGAGTTGACCAGAAACTAGCTTTGAGAGCCTTTCAAAGTTGGATTTTTAAAGAATGTTATCTGCCCTGCCTGGTGTGGTTTAGTGGATTGGGCGCTAGCCTGAGAACTAAGAGATCACGGTTCGATTCCTAGCCAGGGCACATGCCTGGGTTGTGGGCCAGGTCCCCGGCTGGGGGCATGCGAGAGACAACCACACATTGATGTTTCTCTCCCTCTTTCTCCCTCCCTTTCCCTTTCTCTGAAAGTCAGTAAACAAAATCTTTAAGAAAAACAAAAACAAAAAATAACCCCACAACCTAAAAAAAAATGCTATTCCAGGGACTCCAAGGTAACAATGTGAAATCATTAAAATAAGCAAATTTTGTATGTCAAAAGTCCTCCATTGGCTGGCTCCAGTGCTCACGCTTCCTTCTGGAGATGCCCACAGCACAGCCACCATTACTCAGATGGTCACGGCGGTCACATACGTGGGTTCCACATCGGGGCACAACTGCCAGGGCCTAGGAGGAGCCCATTTTCTTTTCCATCAAACCTTCATTTAGCTCCATGAAGCAGCTTTTTAGGCTCCACCCAAGTGGGGAGGCTTGATGGGTTGGTGGTCCCCCAGTGAGGTTTGGTATCTACTGGAGCATTTGGGACATGAGCTTCCGTCAGCAGATTGGGGAGGGCCACAGAACCTCATTCAGAACAGGGCAGATTTCCTGAGGCCCCCGAGAGGAAACAAGGAAGGAACTTCACACAGACCCGCCATTAAATAACAAGGACCCAGAGCAAGGATGGGGGAGAGGATGGCAAGGTGGCAGAGACTCTAAAGGCTTTCAGAGAGAAAAACAGGTTCCCGTGATACTGTCAGATAATAAATATTTATGTGCGTCTTCTCTGGTCCTGGCACAGAGCTCCTAACAATCCTGGGATTTCCTGAGTGACGGGGTGAGAGAAGCATTTGTTGTTATTCATTAACAAGCCCCTTTCAACTTTACCAGAGTTTATTCCCATGAAGTGACCCTTAGAGGATGGGGACTGGTTGCTAGGGGAACCCACCTTGTCATTAGAGGGCTGGAACTCTCAGCCCTGCCCCTGACCATCTTGGAGCAAGAGGAGTTAAAGACTGAGCTAATCGACAACGACCAATGCCTTAATCAACCAGCCCATGTAATGGAACATCCATAAAAACCCTAAAAGAAGGGGTTCAGAGAGCTTTTGGGTTGTCAAACAAGTAGAGGTGCTGCAAAAGTGGTGCTCCTGGGGACCGCATGGAAACTCCACTCCCTCCCCACACCGTCCCCATGCAGCTCTTCTGTCTGCTGCTCCCAAGTTGTATCCTTTATGATAGATCAGTAAACCTAAGTTAAGCGTTTCCCTGAGTTCTGGGAGCCCTTCTAGTGCATTATGGAACCCGAGGAGGGGGTCATGGAAACCTTGAGTTTTTTAAAGATTTTATTTATTTGTTTTGAGAGAGAGGAGGGAGAAAGAGAGGAAGAGAAACATCAATGTGTGGTTGCCTCTCACACACCCTCAGCTGGCAACCTGGCCAGCAACCCAGGCATGTGTCCTGACTGGAAATTGAACTGGTGACCTTTCACATCATATGCCACTGTTCAATCCACTGAGCCACAGCAGCAAGGGCAGGAACCCTGATTTATGTCTGGTCAGTCAGAAGAACAGGTGATAACCTGTACTTGCAAACTACAGTCTGAAGTGGGGGCAGTCTGGTTAATGCCAGGCAGGCTCTGTCAGAACTGTTTAGTGTGAGGAAAAAACTCACACATTTGGTGTCAAAAGTGTGAGAAGAGTTTCTCTTTAGTCACTTGCATAAAGAGCAGGAGTCAGACTGTGTGAAGACTTCTCCTCAACACAAGAAAGTTCTGAGGAAAATTGCTTTGACAAAGATTTGCAAACCCAGGCAAACTGATAATTTCCACACACGCAAAGAGGTAACGTTTACCTTCTCCATATCCTTTCTTGAAAAGTTGTTTGGGGATATACTCCAGCAAAAAGAGAGAATAAACCAAAAAATAAGGAGGTATGAGATCTGAGAAATTATAAATACAATTGGAGAAAGAACCACTGGGCCTTGTGGGTGTGCAGCAGGTGCACACCCAGGGAACGAGGGTGTCGTGGGGGCACGGGAGAGGAGGGGAACATGGCTGAAAAAGTATCCCATGGTGACACAGAGCAATAATAAAGACGGTGGGCAAAGTCAAGCAAATTTTACAGACCAGGACATACCCCTAGAAGACAGAGATAGAGGTATCAATAAAAGTGTCTGAGCTGCAAAGAGCTCACAAGTGGACGAACAGATCAGTATGTTAACACTGAGAAGTCTAATAAATGTATAGAGGGTGAAGGAAGCGTAGGACAGGGGTCCATCATTCAGCCTTGTGGTGGGATTGGTAGTCCCTGGGTAACTATAAAATCCAACATCAAGTGAACTGTGTGGACAGCCCCTATGGCACAGTGGATAATCACTGGGATTGTACGTCAAGACACTCTGAAGTGCCTTACAGGCCAGTGAGACACAGAACTCTTTAGAAAAAGATCGGTGCAGAATGATCAGTGCGGCTCACTTGTCCCTAGCCATCTCAGCCAGACAACTTGTCCCTGAGAGACGGGAAACTGGTTCCTTTATACAGTTGACAAACACGGATTTTACCCCAAATATACTCCCAAGATAGAAAAAAAGTACATCTGCCAAAGCAAATCATTGTGATCAGCACAGAATATATCTGCTTGACCCAGTGGCTCAAAACTGTTTCCTTTTGAATTGAACAGAGAATCCCCTCAGAGATCAAAGGCGTCCTGCTCATTTGAAAGCCAAGAGCCAGGTGTTATAAAGCTGTGCACTCTCTCTGCACATGAAGCCACTGGGGTTTTTCCACTGTGATAGGCTCCCTTTTAAAGGTCTATTAAAGTCTCACAGATTAACTTTGTCTTGACTTCATCTTTTGCTAAGTGACAGCTCAAACGTTTGGATAACTACTAAATCCTGTGGAGGATAAAACAACACTGCAAGAACTCTTTTATGTAACAGAGAAAAAGGGCTGAGCTGAGAGCACATATTGACAATCCCATGGCACTCGGAGTCCCTTCAGAAAGCCTTGCAGTGACAATCGGTGTCCACTGTGTGCTAGGAGACGGCCTGAGTTATCCCAGGGAAGGAGACACCCAGCCTCACCCTCCTGGGGTGCTGCCCTTTTTGAGAAGGGCTGAAATTCTGCACTTTCTTCCACGTGTCAGGAAAGAGATTTAGAAATGAAGGCGCACAATCACTGCCAGGAACCAGCACCCTCTGGACCTTGCTAGAAGCTGAGGGCTTCAGCTAACACCTCAGCCTGGGACTGTTCCCCATCCCTACTGGTCTCCCCTCACTTCTAGATTTGATTTGAGAATCTCAGAGTTTGGTTTTAGTCGTGACTGCAGGTTAGGCTGATGAAGTGCATACTTGTGTGTTCACTGCTGCTCCCGTGCTCAGCACGTTGTGTCCTTCTGGGTGTAGGAAGTGGGATGGGGGAGGCGGACTCAGCGCTGGTTGCCAGGGCAGAGGTTATTGATGTTCTGGGCACGGACTGACTTCTCTGGGGCTCTGCAAGCTGGCTGGGCACGCCCTGCACAGCTGCCTGGTTCTCAGGCAGTTCTAAGCCTAATCAGATGTGGATGTCACCGAGCCCCGCGGGTAATGTGCAAGTTTCATCTGCCGCTGTCTCAAAGCTGCCAAGAAGCCTCCGGTGAACATCAGGAGGCCTGGGAGCACCTCGGACCCGCTTGGCCTCCAGGATGATGAAGGATCAGGAGGCTTCAGATCTCACAGGGGTTGTCTGCAAGTTAAGATGCACTCGTGGAATCGGAGGCGCACCGAGTAGAGATGCTACTCTCTTTTTGCGGATTGGCTGCTCCAGTGGGAGGGGCTGGGGGAGTCGAGGCAGGCGACAGAGAGCAAAGGTGAACCAGGTGCAGTCACCTGCGAGGACCCTCATCCCTCACCCCAGACCTCAACCAGCCCTCGGGACCGAAAGAGAGGGGGTTACGCGGAGGCGTGCACGTGGTGTGGAGGGGGAGCGTACGGCTGGGAGCTTGGCTGTTTACCCGCCCGAGGAGCGGCCAGGGGACCCGGCGGGGCAGGGTTACTGGCGGGGGTCGCGTGCGCGCGCAGAAGAGCGATACCGACGGGGCCCAGGCCCCGCGGACTCACAGTAAACGAAAGCGAGGGCCCTCAGGAGCACGATCCTGGTCAACCAGAAGGTGCCCGCGCGGAGGCGGGCCTTGCAGGCCGTGGGGCTGCGCCCTTGCCCCAGCGGAGACCCAGGCTCCTGGCCAGCGCCTGCAACCTTCCGCCTCCTAAGGGGCTCTTCGGGCGCTGCCATTGCCGGGCCTTCAGGGTACATGCGCGAGGAGCGTTGCGCGCCGGAATGCCCCGCCCACAGCCGAGACCACGCCCGCTCCTTCTGGTTTCTCCGCCCACAACTGCGAAGACAAGCCCCTGCGCGGTAGCTCGCGCCAGGCCCGAACGCGCGCGCGCCCCCCGCAGGCGGTGCGGGACACTGAAACAGTGAGGGCAAGGAAGTGGGTGTACCTGAGAAGACCGCGAGCATTACTCCACTTGGAAGGGGTTTTACCCACTCCATTTATTCACTCACTCGTTCCTGAGTCAAAGTTGAGGAGGGCTCCGGGTGCATTTCCTGGCCCAGGCGCCTGCCCTCATGGGCCCTTAGCTCTAGGGAGGGGATGGGAGGCATTCCAGAAATAGAAGTGCAGTGCGAAGGAGACTGTTGGAAAGTTTGTGTCTGTCCAGTGCCAGGGTGGGCCTGGTCAGCTTCAGGGAAGTTGCACTGTGTGCAGCTGAATACCCGGGCGGGTACTTCACCTCCTGTGCGGCTCTGGGGTGTGTGGAGTCGCAGTCCCACACAGGAAAGGCCAGAGCTGTAGCTTCAACCTAGGGTGTCGGGCTGTTATTGCCTGCAATGGGGTGTGTGGCCAGGTGCCTCACAGGTGTCCCCTCCCTGACTTCTCACTTATGCTGTCCAGGGAGGATGCTGGGATGGAAGTCACACAGGTGGTGAGGGACAGGGTGGGACTTGAAATCTAGCCAGATCTCCCAGCTTAGGCCAGTAAAGCCATTGTTAGGCAGAGCTCTTATGGGCCCTCAAGACTGGACCTCCAGCAATGACCTAAGCAGAACCCCAGCGAGGACCCAGCAATTCTACATTCTGAAGACAGCAGTCCAGGCATTGCCTAGGAGAGGTGGCTCCAAGAGGGTGGAATCATAGGCCTTCGTCAGAGGAAAGCAGGGGTGTACGGGACAAAGTAGCATTAGAGCCCCAGGGCTCATTGGGTAAACTGTGGGATACCTGGAAACAAATCACTGAGGTAGGTATTCTCATTCATTTGGCAGAACTTCCTACATATCAAAAGATCCTGTTCCTTTTGTGTATATTGCAAATGTTTGTCCTGGTTTTTTTGTTTTTAAATCTCATTCCTAGTATTTTGACATATAAACTATCAATACTTGTGCGATCAGATTACCAGTTTTTCTTGCTTGTTTAGTTGAATCTTCACCATCTGTAGTGTGAGCTCCATGAGGGTAGGGACTGGCTCTGGACATAGGGTCCCCTAAATCTAGGCCAGACCAGCAACTTCTGGAACCCCTCCTCAGCCCCACCCACTCAACCATTGTTGAAGTAACAGCATGTACGTGCATCTTACAATGTGATTTTTTTAAGTTACTTTTTCTTTCCCATGAAAACCGTCCCTTTGGAACCCAGCTTTGAAGTGGGACTTGTAAAAAATGTTGCCGTGGGCGGTGCAAACACCTTCCACATCCTGGTAAACCCCCAGCAGGGAAGCATGTACCCAGAGGGCTCACAGCCCTGGGAATCAGAGGAACACGTACCCTGGCCCAAGCTCCCAGGTCCTTCCATAAGAACCCACACCCAGCAACCCCTGTTCCTGTTGTTCAGGCACGGTGCTTGGTAGGGGCCAGCACAGCTGTTTAGGGAGAACTGGGAAAATCCAGCACCCTCACCCCAAGCGGGCCCAAGCGGGCCCAAGCTTACCCGGGTCCCTGTCCGGATGCGGGAACTGCTCAGGAGATAGAAGGTAAAGAAGGACAGCTCTGCCGTCAGGTGTGACCCGGGTGCTGCTTTTCAGGTGGGGATGGTCCTCACAAATGGGCCCTTTGTCCTCAGCGTCCCCTGGCTGGGGGCTGCATTGTTCTCCCCAGAGAAGGGCACAATGGGGCATTGTACACAACAGAAAGGGCCCCTTGTCAGGCCTCCAGCTTGCTGGGCTCCGGGTTCCCTGTTTGGGTTTGCCCAGGGTGGGAGAGGCCATCAAAGAGGTCCGCTGGGAGCTCATGTTCTTGTGTTTTCTCCAGGGTCCTCCTTCCTGGGAGCTGACCTCAGAGGTCCAGTTCATCTGATGGAGTGGACCCCACAGGGCTTGGGCAGAGGACGGGCTGGCCAACAGCTCAGTTCTTGCCCATTCAGCCTGAATGTAATCAAAAGTTCACCGTTGCATTACTCAGCCATGAAAAGGTGTGAAGTACTGACGCATGCTGTAACATACCGAGGGGAGGCAAAAACACTGGAATATATTTATTAAAAATTGTGTATTTAGTCTTACATGTTTAATCTTCAGTCACCTTCAAAGTACTCTCCATTTGATGCAATGCACTCATCGAGACATTTTTTTTTCCACTGCTCAAAACAGTTTTTGAACTGTTCGATTTTGATGCCTTTTAGTGCTTGTGCTGTTTTTTGTTTCACCTCTTCCACATCAGGGAAACATTTCCCTTGGAGGGCTTTTTTAATGCAAGCAAACAAACAAAAAAAAGTCACTTGGGGCAAAATGAGTGAATAGGGAGAGTGAGGCGGGGGTCAGGCTGTTCTGAGCCGTGGAACTGCTGAACACTCAGCACAGTATGGGCAGGTGCGCTTGTAAATCACCCATCGTGAAATGGGGAAATGCGTGGTGTCTTAAAAAAAAATTCATTGAACCTGAACGCAGCCTCTCACAACATTGCCAGTTGGTACAATGATACAGATGGGTTCCTAGCACACTCACCTAATAGGGGAAGCCTGTACTACAAGGGGGTCTGCCCTCCAGAAGATAATTCTGTTTTTTGGGGGGGTCCCCATAGATGAACCACAAAACTGTCATGCCAAGTGAGAGAAGCCAGACACACAAGGCTGTGTGTTGTCTGGTTCCACTTATGTGAAATGTCCAGAATAAGCAAATTCACAAAGACAAAGCAGACCCATGATTCCCGGGGGCCAGGGGAGGGGGATGAGGAGCGACCGCTAATGGGTACAGGGTTTCCTTGTGGAGTGATGAAAGTGTTCTAGAACTAGATGGGGTGATAATTGCACAATATCGGGAATGTAGTAAATACCACTAAATGGTATACTTAAAAATTCTTAATTTTATGCTATGTGAATTTCACCTCCAAAAAAACCCATAAAAAATATACCCCAGTGTTGTTTCAGAATCACCTATAAGGCACTGCTTTTTCCTGTCAGAATAGATTATATCATTCCTGCCAAATTTACCTCTTGATCTCTATTAGGGAGCACCAAACAGTTTTAGAATAATACTTAGGTGTGAGTGTGTCTTCTGCCCCAAGAATGCGCTCTACTTAAAAACAAAGAAAACCTTTTCTGCAAACCACGGGCCAGCCATGGAGCCCGGAGCTTGCGCTGGAGAGGCTCCAGGGTGTTTTCCTCTCACCCGACAGCTCCGTGCCTGCACCACAGGCAGGCACGGTGGACTCTCCAGCAGGCAACCTCTCACCAGCAGCAGGGGACTGAGGGGCAGGGCACTCCTGAACCTTCGTTTTCAAGCAAAATACTGTATGAAAAAAAGTGAGGGGCTGAGATGAGGTCCAGTTGCTTGGGACTGGTTACAGGAGGACCCCGGGGCAAGCCAGACAGGGAGCCAAGAAAAGGAGGAGAGGGAACAAAATGGGGGGCGCCCTGAGAGGAGCTGTCAGCCCAAGCTTGGGGCTAGTGTTGTGCAGATCCACACACAAGCTAGAGCCCTTAGGTGGGCCCAAGTCCCTGATGGGCCCGTCCGCAGCCCCTCCGGCTTGCCTCTGGAGCCAGGACACACACAAGCCCGAGGGCTGGCGGCATTCCCAGCAGCTGAGGGACGACTTCACAGAGGAATGAGCCCTGTGTCAGCACCTCGTCCAGCTGTCCCCAGGCACCCTGGCCTGGCAGCCCCTGCCGCATCAGGGCATTTGTCCCTGACGTGCATTTGCAGCTGTCTCTGGCACCCCTGAGGACCCAGCTTGGGTCCGAATCTAATCGTGCACCCTTCATTTACCCTAATTTTTCATGTCTTGACATGTTGATGGGGAGGGCAGGACCCACTGGCATTAACATCTGTCACTTCTTCTGGAGGGGTGATCAGTTTGGGCCCGTCCCACCAGGGCTGTACAGCGGCCAAAACTCCCTGGTAAGGCTGGCAGGTGCGGGTGAGGGTGGGCAAGCAGGTGCTGGGCCATTTGCTGGTTGTTCTGGAACTGTGACTCACTCACAGACGGCTGTTCTGCCTGGCTCACCCAGCTCTTCTGCCGGCACCCTCAGCTCCAGCCTGAGCACTGCCGTGACTGTGTCCCAGAAGGAGATGTGGCCCTGTGTGGCCCAGCGAGCTGGTGAGCCATGATTGCTAGGCAGAGGAGGGAGCAAAAAGCTCCCAGGGTGGTCCCATTCTCTGGTTGTAGAGCTCTGCAGAGGAAAAGAATGTGTAGTTACAAATTTTATTTTTTCTTTTAGAATCACATTCTGAACTGGAAGAATCTTGGGAATTGCCTAGGCCAGGAGTCTCTAGCAGGAGGCCTGTGGGCTGAATCCTGCCCAAAGAGATGTATCGGTTATTGATTGCCACAGTAGTGCCATGTAACAAACAGTCTCAAAAATCACAAGTCCTTGTGTCGGCCAGCAGTGTTACCCATCCAATCTGGGCTCAGGCATGAATCTGTGGTCAGCAGAGGTCTGGTGGGTGGCCTTGGCTGGCCGTTGGGATGACTAAGGCCCCTCTCCAGCCATCCACAGGTCCCACCATTCCTTACAGCTTCGCCCGCAGCAGCATCCACATTCCCTCCCTGCCTGGCTCCCCAGGGCACTGAAGTCCAAGACCCCTCATTTGGCCCAACCTCTCATCTCACAGTGGGGGAAAGGAGCTGAGGGGGAACTTGTGACCAACACCATCCATCACCAGGTCTTCCCTTCCTATGACCCTCCCCCGGTGATTAAAGCACACAATCCATTTCTGGAAAGAGTGGGCGGCCTTCCTGTTACATGTTCTCCTTGAAGGCATGCCCAGATGGGTCCATCCGCAGGAGATGATAATGAGTTCGCGAGCATGGAAAACACAATAAACACCAGGTGTTGGCTGCTG